CCCCAAAACCCCAAAACCCCAAAACCCCAAAACCCCTGTCTTGAGTTGACTTATTGAAGGTTATGTGACCACAAATAGGGGGACCAAAACCAGAGTAATTGTTGATACCAGCTTGATCAAGATGTGAATGGAAGGACCTGCTGTATCTTTGCAAGGATCTCCTACAGTGTCTCCTGTAACTGCTGCCTTGTGAGCTTCGGAATTCTTTCCTCCAAATTTGCCTAATTCCACATATTTCTTAGCATTGTCCCATGCTCCTCCAGCATTATTGAAAAAGAGTGCCATCAAAATTCCAGTGCAAGTAGAGAACATAAGAAATCCAGCAAGTACTTCTGCCCCAAGAAGATCTCTGTTTGTGTACGATCCTATTAACCGGAATATAAATCCCACTAGAATTGGAGAGAATAAAGCCAAAAGCCCAGGCTTGATCATTTCTCTTTGACCTGCTTGTGCAACAAGAGACACTCATTTCTTATTATCAGGCTTCTCTTCGTAAGTAAGAATACCTGGATGGTCTCTAAACTGTCTTCTAACCTCAGCAATAACATCCTCTGCTGCGTTTCCAACAGCTGCTATAGTCCAGGCAGAGAATACAAATACTGTGACCGATCCGAGAAGTCCACCAATGAAAACTTCAGGAACTGTGATATCAATAGATTTCAATGGTTTCCCAGTTAGCATGGTAACTTCGTCTAGGAAAGCACTAAAGAGAAGGAAACATGCTAGAGTCGCTGAGCCTACAGAGTATCCTTTTGTGTTTGCCTTAGTGACATTTCCAACAGCATCAAGTCTATCAGTAATCTCTCTTACATAGGGCTCTTGGTTGCTCATTTCTACGATACCACCTGCGTTATCTGCTATTGGTCCAAATCCACTCATTGAGAGGACGAAGACACCTGTTGAGAACATGCCCATTGTTGCGACAGCTGTGCCATAGAGACCTCCGATTAGAGCTCCGTTTTCATCTCTGATCCCTGTGTACTCACCAAGATAGTAAGATAATAATACTGCAACAGATATTATCAAGATTGGAGCCCCTGTGCTCTCCAAACCTACTGAGAGTCCGGTGATGATATTCGTAGCATGGCCCATCTTGGATGACTCTGCAATTCTCTGAACTGGTCCATAATTATAGTCTGTGTAATATTGGGTTCAGATCAGGATCAAGAAGGAAACTAATAATCCAATCAAGCCACAACCATAGAAACAAAGATAAGCATTTGGCAGATTATTGATGTACAAAAAGTTCCTACAGATGAAGAATAGTCCAATTACAGCCAATATTAAGGATAGATAATAAGCTCTTTTCATAATAGAGATCGGATCCTCAAGCTTATTCATCTTAGACAACTCAGGTAGTCCTTTGTCAGTCTTGACAAAGAAAGTAGAAATTGTGCTTACAATTAAATCTAATGAATGTATACATAATGGGAAGAGAATAAATCCTGCTTTCATATTTTGACTCAAATGTCCTTCATCAGCTAAGGAACCTCCCAGGATCATTGCGCTCAAGATTTCTGCTGAGATTGACTCGAATAGATCAGCACACTGCCCTGCACAATCTCCAACATTATCACCAACTAAATCTGCAATAACAGCTGGATTTCTTGGGTCATCTTCTGGAATCCCAGCCTCAACCTTACCAATAAGATCTGCTCCTACATCTGCTGCTTTAGTGTAAATACCTCCTCCTAGCTGGGCGAACATGGCTACAAAGGAAGCACCAAAGCCAAATCCAACTAGAAGAACTGGGATTTCTTGAATGGGGATATCTACTCCTGATGGCATATGAATCCAGAATCAGAAATACAGAACCAAGTACAAAACAGATATACCAAGCAAGGCTAGGGCTACATTGATAATTGCTGCGAAAGCTCCCCCTCTAAAGCATATCTTCATTGAAGAATCATAGCATTTTCTGGAAGCTGCTGCTACTCTTACGTTTGCTCTTACTGAAACCCACATTCCTGCATATCCGCTGAGGGCTGAACAAAAAGCTCCAATGATGAAGGAAATTGAGACAAAGAAGCATATGAGCCAGGAAGACACATGATCATTGATCAAGGAGTTACTTGTAGGAGATCTAAACAAGTAGATCAACATTATTCCCACTGCAAACACAGCTGCTAGTCTGAAAATAGTTTTTGTGTGCGTAAGTAGAAATCCTTCTGCTCCTTCTTTAATTGGATTTGCGATTTCGAGCATGTCTTCATCCCCAACATCTTTCTTAAGTATCCATACCAACATCCAGAAGGAGACAACTATAAAATAGATACTCACCTGGAGTGTTGAGAAGGCGACTACAAGTCCAAATTCACTTGAAAACATCATATAGAACAGAAGAACGAACAGGAATGGGCCAAATATAAGATATGGCTTGACTAGCTTAGAATTTTCAAAAGTCCTCCACCAACTCCTGACTGCATCAACTGCTAGATCTCTTTCTTTTATTCCTACAGAATCCATTTAGGATTTAAATTTGATAATTCAATTTAATAAATTACTTCTGGGGTTTTGGGGTTTTGGGGTTTTGGGGTTTTGGGG